GTAATTATCTATCCATCTTATTTACCCATCTTGTTACTAGGTATTTCTTTTATACATCAATTCGTAAGAACTCTTTGTATATCAGTATGTTAAGCTCTTTAACTAAAACATATTTTATAGAAAATCTCCCCCAACTTTATTGTCAAAACTGACTTTAACATTTTTTTTAATCATATTTAGGAACTTTTCTGTCATAGTTCAATGATGTGAGTGGCTTTACAACTCTAATTTTAAAATGGCTAGAATGAAAATTAAAAATAAACAAGCATTTCCTATTTCTACAAGTGTTAGCTGTTTCTATGTTTAACTTTGGCATCAGTGACCCAGTTGATGTGGATTTCTACTATTTCCTTCCAGTATACCAAATACTACATTCACCAAATTCCAAGAAGCCGAGAGGTTCAGCAGTCCTGGCTCTCCACAGTGATTACCACCCTGCGCTCCATGTGGATCTCCTTTCCCCTGATTCACCGGGTGAAACCAGATTTGGTATGTAAGACCATCACTGAAGAGAGGGAAGATAACTCTCCTGTGAATCCTTCGTTAGGAATAGTACATATTGTTTTCTTAAACAGCTACCATTTATCAGTGTGTCCGGTAGTGTGCAAGACCCTTTACTAATATATGCTAAAATTTATCATTTAAATGCACTTTGCATTTATTTATTAATTTGCCTTCCTTATCTAGCTGTAACTTGAACTCTAGCCTCCTTGTCTCATGGTGATAACCACTAGGAAAGCAGTATCTTTAGCCAATTTTCTCACTATCCACTGGTAGTTCCTGGCTGACATCATGTGATTGTCAGCCACAGAAGAGCCAATTTTTTACACCTCTTCAATAGTCTTTTTTATTTTTGTTAAGACTCTGTTATCAAATGTGGTATTCAGTGGGCAGAATGTCATACACACTCAGGTTTTTACAGGAAAGTAGTACAGAAAGTAGACAGACGAAAATGTAATTAGTATACCCTATGTTCAACCTTACCTTCCTTATCTGTGAAAGTCTTAAGTTCTCTTGTGGTCTTTATAGAATTCCAAATGTACCTCAGTGGATGATGTGGATCAGTGGATATGTTATCACAGTAGTGTACACTGTTCTTAAATAATACTGTCATTCCTATTGAAGGCAGAATTCATTAACTAGCATAGTCTGAAAGGAAGCTCTTTACTTGATTTCCACATACATGTATTCTGGCATGAGTGGCTGAACAAATGAGTTTAGCTATAATGATTTTGAAAGGTCTCTGTCAGTTTGGTCATTGCCTTTCATCAGCTGGATTGCAGTTCAAGTCCCTCTTTTGGACAAGAATTTTTTAAAATCTAAATTTTCTATGTGAGTAGTATTGAGATTGTTTTTAAAATATATAATTTATATACACTGAAATGCAGAGATCTTAAGTATATAGTTTAACCATATCCCTGTCAAGATATAGAACATTTTCATCACCTCAAAAAGTTTTGTCTTGGGCCGGCCCGGTGGCGCGCTGGAGAGTGCGCCACTTGGGAGCGCGGCGGCGCTCCCACCGAGGGGTCGGATCCCATGTG